GTATAATGTATAATATTATAATAGGTACCTAGCCAGGTAGGTATTAAATAATAAAACCGAACACACTTATAATATAATATAATCTATATCTAGTATATAATTAATATCGGAAGTCATCGACATAGATAGACTATGGAGGAAAAGTCAAAAGTGCACTGAATATGAATTTGCATAATATGGCTTAATATTAGTTCTATCTACCTTTATAGGTACCTAAACATTTTAATTTCTATAAACGGAGCGACGAATGTATTGGTTTTGCAATTATTAAACAATGATGCTTAATTTTTTTAGTTTTTTTATTTATTTGTAAATCTTAGTACAGCTGTAACTTAAAAACAATTATTGTGACATTGCGAAAAAATAATGTTAAATTTGATATTCCAATATAAGGATGATTTTTTTTTTGTGAAGGGGCGGCGTGAGATTTATAATATGATGATCTGGTACATTAAACACCCTGCACAACCATTAAACTGCTGCCTGCAACTTGCAGTTATTGAATTTATGTGTGCCTAAATACACGATAATTAGTTGAAATAATGTTTCGATCTTCAACGTCAGTATCTCCTCTAGTCGAGAAGTGAATTCAGTTGGTAATTTAAATAATATTCTCGTTTTTTTCAAAATCGGTGAAGTTAACAAAAAGAAATTACGGAAAAACGGAAATTTTGTGCAAGGCAAAACTGATTTTGATTGGTTGGTGGAACCCCAAAAAAATAACATTAGATAGGTATACATGATATTTTTTTAAATTATAAATAATTATCATTGGACGATTTGGTCGTTTTCTATAAATATTTATATTGATTTTAATGCTTATTGCCGCATAAGGCATATTTCATTATGCGTCGCATGCGGCCATCGTCGATGTCTTTTTCAAGAAATATTAACTTTTAATATGTTTACAATTTTATAAATAGATGAAACAAAAATTAATACATTTTGCAATTTGCTTTGATTATTTCGTCATTTGTTGCTACTAATGTGTACCCAGGGCAGCGAAATCATAAATAGGTACACCACTGATTATGATTTAGTGCAGCATTTAGGCTTAGGTCCAAAGTAATAAAAAAAAAAAAATTGATTTTTAGTTCACAAGCATAGGTCTGTCGTTTGTATAATATATTGATAACAATATACTTACAATATATGGTAATTCGACGATTGAAAATAAAAAAAATATTGGAACCCAAAGGTTCGTACGACAAAAAAATGTGGAACGCTTCACGATTTTGCGTGTCATCCTTGCGCAGGGGCCATGCTAATCTTCTCTGTATCGTTCCAATTTTAGTATATGTACTGCCGAAGCAAGTACATTGACGATCGGGCCGAATGCTCCTTATATATAGCGTAGTGTTGTCTGAACGTCACATGCGAGAGCAGGTATCGCTTGTTCTGAACATAACAATCGGAACAAGAACACCAACAGATGGGGCGACCTACATCCGGAACACAATGGCCATAACAATTAACAATATTATTATTTTCGTTTTTTCTTTCGACACCTTCATTTGCCGTATATTATAATATTTTGTTAGAAATGTAATAATATTATTATTGGCAATTAGGTTACGCCATACACGGTTCCAAACGAATACTTTTCGGACAAAATATGTTTCAAATAAATACAATTCCTTTCCAAAATAAATAATAATACGGGTTGAACGTTTTCGAGTAAATACTTTTCAAACAAAATACATCTGACGGGCAGGGTATGGCCGTATGGGATAGTTATTTGAGTTTTCATATAGATAGTAACCAATAGGTAATATATATTTAAGTATCCATCTACATAATATGTACATATTAATTATTTAGTTATTGTTATCTCCAAAAAAAAATGGGTTACCTACTTATGATTGTAACTAGCAAGTACAAAATTATGTAAGAAGGCTATTTGTATTGAGATAAAATTACAATTGTAATGTAATGTAATTGTTAGCGAGCGGTGTTTTTTTCAGTTTTATTTTGGGCCGGTCAAAAATGTTCACCTTCCCCTTTCAAAATTCAAAAACCAAAATGATGCCACTGCGGTACAACAGCTAGATCGTTGTGAATCGTTTGTGGTTCATAAATAATAAATATGCATTATCTTAAAATTAATCTAAATATTTTGAAAATTCCATTGTGTAGGTATAGTTAAGTTATAATATGTAAAAGTTTCAATTCTCCACGAAATAATGTTAACTATAAGCATTAAGCACAATTTTTTTTTTATTGCAAAAACAAATATATTAGCTTACTTAAATGAAAAAAAATTAAATTAGATTTAAATAGCACAAACACAGCCAAAATATTTAGAAAATTATATCAAGTCTAGGAAATCCTAATATGAATATTTATTATATTTCAAGTGTATACGGTTGTTTATTTTTGAGTAACAACCAAAATACATAATTCCCGTTTTTTTTAATTAAATTTTTTTTCCTAATTATTTGTTATAGTACTGAGAATAATATTTTATGACCAGCTGAAAGTAACAAATAGATACAATTTGCTGCTACAAAGTTGTATATTAATTCATTTTTCTGCTATATAAAGTGTACAGTGTACACATTCACACACATCATCATAAAATTGATACACTTATCGCACTGCTCAGAATCTAAATTGCTGTTAAATCTACATATGCAATAAATTAAGAATACATCTAAAATTGCTTTCAACTTTAATTTTTTAAAATAGTAAATTCAGTAAATTTTCTATGAGGTAGTAAAAACTGTTCTTGTGAAATATATTTCTTACTAACCAGCCACCTAAATAATGCCTGTGCCAACACAAACATACCTGAATAATATTATTAAATTGAAATGTTGTGTCTGAAGTGTCTCATACTCTCCATCTACCTTATACACTAAGGCTAGGAACAAAGCTCAAAACTATAAAATAATATGTGAATAAAAACTGAAGATGACACAGTGGAAAACTGTTGTTATAAAATGAATTTAACTACCTATTGTAGACTATAGTGTAATCACACTATCACAGATATAAATATATAATATTATGATACAACACATAAAACTTGAGCATTTAGCATATTGTAAGCTGTTTGTATTTGTCACACAATAAATATTTTAAGTATTATTATACAGATAAAGTTAACAGTAAATGTATTAAAAAGTAAAAATAAATAAATGTTTTAACGGTACTGGTCTAGTTGACCCCCGCCAAGAAAATATTCTCGCCGCCACTCAGGTTTAGTCGACGCCCGCCAATTACATCTCTCTTGTTTTCGATGTTCTAGTCATTCGATATAGACTGTAAATACTCATAGGCGCAAATAGGGGGGGGATTTAGGGGCTAAGCCCCCCAAAAATGTCCATAGCTCTCCCAAACATTTCCTACATTTTGTTTTAAGCTTATTCAATATTATCAAAGTAAGGCTTTAGCCCCCCCCCCAAATCTCAAACTCTATTTATGCCTATGTATATACTGCAGATAAAAAGGTACGAAATTACATACTTTAGGTATTCGTATGCTATTCCCTAATTATATACTTCCTAGATTATTATTTGTCAGAGTTTATGTAGCGAAGTAAATTAAACAGCTGTGATCCGTTTAATGACATTTCGGCCACCTGCATAATTTTTTATTATTTTCTGCATTATTATTTATATAAATTATATGTGAATGATATATATATTTTTTACTATTTATTTATTCATATATGATGTACATTATTTCTCTATTTTTATTTAAATTACCTGAATTTCTAGCTTAAATGTATTAGCTTATGTGGTGAATAATTTTTTTAACATTTATTTATTCATATATATTATGTATCTATAAATACCAAATGAATGTATGATCTATAATATTCTATAATCTATGATTATAGTTTTGATTATTCACTAGAAAATCGAAAATACGAGAGATTTAAGTGGTGGGCATCAACTAAACCTGAGTGGCGGGGGAATATTTTCTTGGCGGGGTCAACTAAACCAGTACCGTTTTAACATAATATTTCATATTATCACAATAGTTTTTAATCCATGCTCTTGATTAAATCTATAGACAATATACATGACATAAATAACATAACCAATACTATTGTATATGTGATAGAATAAAATAATGAAAAATAATCACATTTTTTAAAAGATAGTACAATAATAAATGTAAGAAGTTAGACCTTTGAAATATTTAACATACTGTTTGCTTGTGCTCATTATGATATTGATAAGTAGATACATAGGTACTTAAAATCTAAAATGTATTAAGATCTAAATGGTTTACTTGATTATAAACGAATACAAATTAACTTACAGTTTATGTATTAAAAATAAAATAATATTATAAATACTTAGATTGAATATTATACAGTCAAACAAAAAATGTAATATTAGTATATTATATTTTAATTTTAAAATACTGACTTACAAAAAAAAATATGTAAAAATATAATAAATCTGATTAAATCTAATAACATTAAACAATTCAAAATTCTTATACCTATCCTATAAAATATGTAGGTATTTTAAAATATTAATTTAAACATTTAAATAATAATATATTTAATTACCTATTACTCTTTGTATCGTGATACAAAAATAATGATCATACAAACCACATGCAGATTTATAACTTAATTTCCATCATAATTTTTGACTTTTATAATAAAATAAAAATAAAATTGAAATAGTACCATTTCTGCCCTTGTATAATTCATGTCCATATTATACAATTTTATTAGAAACTTAACAAATGATTTCTTTGTACAGACAAAATGTAATAAAGATTTATATTATTTTAATTAATGTGCATTAAATAGTTTAAGATATAACACCACATTCTGAATTATTAAATGGCTAAAAATAAGTTGAATAATATATTTTTTTTTATAGTTTGAAATTTAACTAGAAAAATAATAATCACAAATGGTACACATATTCTAACGCAGAAAGTTACTATTGACAACTATTAATTGAAAGGTTAAGAAGTTATTAAGATTAAATATGTATACATTATTTAATAAAATCTTTAATAAGCTTGGCTTACAAAGTACAATAATAATTTACCCATTCATTTTCCATTACAAATGCTTCAACCGCTTCTTTTAATGCCAAATTCGGAATAAGTTGATCAACAGTTAAATGTTGGCGTGAAACCGGATCGAAATGACCAACTTTCTGGTAATGATAAAATTGAAAGTATTGTTACTTATTATTTATTAGTTGATTAAATATAATTATACATTAGAGATAAAAAAAAGTGTAGCTCATAATGTAAAATTGTTCAACAATTTTAAATATAATATATATTATGCTGCATCCATTCATAAAAATTAACCATATTAATTGTGAATAATACAAATGTACGCATGCATATTATATATATAATTTTTTCGCCACTCCCCGTCATACCAAACCTTAACCACCCTATTGATTAGTACCTCACTTATATGGTAATCGCAAAAAAAAGTCCCTCAAAAAATTAATGAAAATATATCAAAATTGAAGTATAAATATTATGTTAAAAATGTATTGAAAAATACATTAAAGGTACATAAAAAAATCATATAATATCATAAAAAATAGAAGGGAGCTTACATACCTATAAAGTGTATAAATTATAGTATATATATTTAATTTTCAAGTTCCTTAATGAAGATCATGTTTTTGGCTTTTGCTATAATAGAATACTGTTTAGTTCTAGTGCAATGATAATTTGGAATATATCAATACAGGCATTTGTCATAAAATAAGAAAGAGGTCAAGAGGTATACCTAATTATAATATTACATTTTTATAGCATTATTATTATAATAAATTATAGTACCAATATAATTTATAATTGATTATTGTATTACATTTTATTATTTTAGACTTGTATTAAATTAAATTTTATTATATTTCAATATGTGATTAAAGTAAGTAATTAACATTTTTTATGATATTGTATGATTTTTTATGTAACTTGAATGTATTTTTCAATACAATTTTAACATATTTATACTTCAATTTTGATATATTTTCATTCATTTTTATCGGGACTTTTTTTTCCGCGATTCCATTTATTTACATTTTTATTGTTTATATAACACATAATATTATGCTTGGAGGATTCATTAGACCACTTTCACTTTCAAAACTCCCATAAATGAAGTTAAAATTAGTTTTAATAATATATAATGTAAAAAAAAAAAACCTTTGTATTGGTTAATAATATGCAGTTATGGTATTCTACCATAGCGATGAATATATTTATGAAATATGGACATCCATAATGTGAAGAAATTTCTACAATATCTAAAAATCCTATTTATGAAAATATCATAAATTTGTGAAAAAAAAATCTATATTTTTTTATTAAGTATACAAAATGACTATCCGTTTAGTGAAATGTATAAAAATTATCATCCATATTGTAAGAAAATTAATAATTTATTAGAAGAACTATTTTATTAAGTGGATACGATAAATACATATTTTATAAGTATTCATCTTTAAATTAGGTCTAAAATAATTTTGTAGCAAAATCAAAATTACAGACATAATATTTTATAATCTTATCAGAGCCATATTAAAAATAATCAATCAAGAGCCATCTAAATGAGAGTAGGCATTTATGATTTAGTTTTCTACAAAATGTACCAGTTCATTAGATTGAATAAAGTTAATAAAATATATTTAATTTACCATTAAGTGTTCTTCTAGATCCTTGCGATCATAAGTTATACCACTTGGAGTGATAACAGGATCACGTAAAATATCATAACTTATGTTACCACACAAATAGTCTGGTACTTCACGTTTCTAATAAAAAAAAAATGTTTAATGCAATGAAATTTTATTATATTATGCATTATGCATATAAAATATATTACCTTCCGTCTGTCGTCATTCTTAGAAAATATGGTATGTAGTTCAGCAGCATATTTCTCCTAAAAATTAAATGCAGTATAATATACACAATTTATATTTTATAAGACCAACTTACACTTTGATTTTTAATTTCCATAACGCCATTATCGTAATCTTCGATTTCGGTTTCATTATCTGATGGTTTTTTAATTTCATTAACTTTACGAGCCATGTCATCATCCATTAGTTTTGTCAGGTATGACTAATTTAATAAAATATAATTAATTAATGTTAAATAATACATTTAGGAGTTGGTTTTATTCACCAAAAGTTCTATTTCTTGATTCTGTCTCACTTCTTCTTGTTTCTCCCATTTCAGTCTACGAGCTCTTCTAAGTTGGCTTGTAATGTCATCACCATAGTTTACTTTTTTTTCTTTTGTTAAATTATGTGCTAAAAATAAACAGTGTACATGTTATTCAAATTAATACATAGTATTATAATTTGAAGATATTTACATTGAACTTTCTTACCTCTTTGTAATTGTTTTATGGCTTCATCATAACTGCCCAACTCAATAAGTGCAATACCCAAAAAAAAACAACCTTTTATGAAACTGAAGTCCATTTCCAAAGCACGTCGACAATCTGTACATGCCTTGTCCCATTGTTTTAATTTCAAGAAACATAAAGCTCTATTGGTAAAGTATATAGGAATAACAGGGTTTTTTATCTGTATTGGAAAAATATGTAATTACTAATTATATAATAGATATTAATCAAAAACACAAAAATTTTTAAGATTTTACTTACAATCGCTTTATTGTAGCATTCAATAGCCTTTTCATACTGTTTGTAACTGAATAAGCGATTACCTTCTTCCTTAAGATCCTTATCAGTTTGGCTGTTAGTAGTGTGTTTATTAGACATATTGAATTTAAACATTTTAGAAAGAAAACTGGATAAAACAATAACAACTGAAAATAATATTAGTTATTATTATATAGTTAATGTTCAAGCATAAGGTCGGAGGTCATGAATTCATGATTGTTTTTTTCCGGGTTACCTTAAACATTTAATGAATCAATACTGAACCAATGGTCTCTAGATTTAGTGACCCATCATTGGTCCATTGCATTTTAGTGAGCCATTGAGTTTAATCAATTTTTATGTAACACGGCATTAATGATTTTAATTATTGAAAACTAATAAATCGTTTAATTTTGATCATATGTGCACATAGAAACATTAAGTAGCAATCCGTGGTAGCAATATAGACTATGAAAAATTGAAATGCTCGTGAATAACGGAACTAACATTTACATATTTTGAGTGACAAAATATTAATTTAATATCACTAACCAACAGACGGGAATTAAAAATGTACAAGATCATGGATTACTTACATGATGTTCAAACAATAAGTAGCTTCCAGTGATGGTTTATAGATGAGATAATTCTGTGATATAATGTCATAAGACTAAACTCATTGTGCAAACAAAGTTTTAATTTCTTTGAACAAAATAATAATAAGAATCAATCATCCTATTTGTTTGACATTAAATAGCTCAGCCATATAATTTATAATTTATGGTTTCTATAGAATAGAACTGTATATAATACTATAATAGTAGTATCTATTATCCACTTGCACCATGAATTATGATTATAGATCTAAAATAGTAAACACTGAATAGTAATCAGTTATGGTAATTGATATTATGTAGTTATGCTATCACCCGATAATAGATAATAGACTATAGGCACAGTACAATTTATAGGTACTATCATAGAACAATATAGAAGCGACACTCGATCAGCTGATGGGTGAAGTGTTTACCTATGATCTGAAGTCCGAACATTCAAACTGTTTCCGTTTACCAACATGATGTTATACCCGTATTGAAAAACCGTCTCCGATTAATAGGCAGGGTATTCTGCGCGGGTCGGGTTGTTTCCAGCATAGAAAAATTGTTTCCACTGTTTACTGTAACGTATGCCACGCCCCTTTAGAGACCATTTTCAAGGCCACAATCTCCCGATCCGACCAATTCACGGAGTGTCGTACCCCTGGTACTATAGGAGTAATAATAGTTATAATAATATTGGCTATTGCTATCATGAACTAATACAATATATTATTATTATTTATACCTACTATAAAAAATTGTATATTTGTTTCACAGACTATACCTAATATGAAAAATATAATCTGTGCCCTATGCCCATGTAGTTGTGACTATAGAAAAGATATTGTAACTTGTTATGTACTAATGTTGTGCCTTGTACGTTGTACATGTATGATTAGTATACCATAGTACTATACACTATACAGTAAGTTGTTTGTATACACAAACACAATACGCCATAGGAAAAAGATTAATACACTACACAGTACACGGGCACACAGCGTCACAGCCACACAGGTCAACTTGACCAGTTGACCATTCGACTATGGGCCGAAGGTTGGTACTACTACAGATTATGTGGACATATTACTATAACCACGGTTTAAGATAGAAACCCGTGCTTATCACTAAGATAGTAATAATTGTTATCAAATGAATAACAACAACATAATATAATTTAAATGTTCATTGTTCGCCGACTTTAGTTGAATCATTTGAATCATTCGATTAGGTATTTGAAATTTGAACAGAAATAGTAAAGACAGACTACTATACATTCGTACAGTGTTGTATTCATACGTTTTAGTAAAAAGTTGCCATGCATAAGTGTATTCTTTTTAGTAAGACATCCAAAGTATTGCCTCGCCACATTACCTTAATTTTCATTTGTAAGTATTATTTTCTAGTTGTACTGATTATATTTCTTAATAATATTGTGCCAGTCTAATTTGATCACAAATATAGATTTCCAAAAGATGAAAATAGAAGGAAATACATTTTCAAATTAAATGATTACCTAATTTCTATCTGGAGCAGAATCTGCAGTAATCATTTCACAATCAGTAATTATAAACAAGGCTCAGTAGATATTATTATGGCCAGAGACTGTCACAAAACATAATCCAAACTGCATGTCTGTTTAGAGGAGTAAAATAAACAATTTAAAATAAATTTTAATAATTTACAGCAACACTGGTACCACTCTGAGCACGACTAATAAATCATCTAAGAGGTAAAATCTTTTAATATTAATTAGGTAGGTATTCAGATATTTTTTACAACTTTATATTTTCAGAAAATTATATTTCTCCAACGATGAATTTGAAGAAAACGAACAGACAAATAAAGGATTTGGATACGTTACCGTCGATGATTTTAATTCACCCAGAAAAGCTTTAGAAACTTAATAATGTCTAATTCACATACACTTATATAAGTATATTACTCAAGTTCCGATTTTAAATGTTCGCCAAAGTCATAAGTTACTTAGTGGTTTATCGTTTTTAGTTCATACAGTGGATTATACTTATTATGGTTTTCAAAACTGAAATATATGATACACCACATACAAGGAACTAGGAAGTCAAGCCAATGTGTTCACAATTTTCAGACGTTGACTTTCTTGAAGATAATTATATACATACCATATTGGAGCGAGTTATGAAACTTAAAGGTGAGAATATTGTTAATAGGTTTATTTTTTAAAGCTATTTTACTAACTAACACACCCACCTGTTCACGGGACACACATTGTACAATATGTAATTGTGTGCGTGGACATAAATTTGTATATCGAAAGGGCTCAGCCTGTTTAGTCAAAATAAATTAATAAATAAATAATTATATCATTCAGTATTAAAATATCCATAACTTGTTTTAAAAATAAAATACAAATAAATGCTTAGTGCTTCTCTATAAGGTACCTTGAAAAATATCTTTGCTTTTAAGTTTGATTATAATATTATGTTATATAACTCTAATATTAAAGCTAACAGTACAAAACTGGATCTACTGTACTCACACTTGCATGTTGCTCGTTATTCAAAGAGAGAAACAAATGGTGCACTGACATATTTTTAACAAAGTTTTAATTTTTTAGGCAATACAATCTAAAATTCCCAGGTGCTTTCAAATATATCGGAAAAAACATTTCTTTTTTTGCATTTTCTGTACACCATACAATTTTTAAAACAATTTAACTTGTTTTGAGCTAACTATTAGGGATAAGACATTTTGGTGGAATTACATTGAAATTATTAGTTTTCTTTATTTACTATAATTTTAACAAATCCCATACCTAATTGATAAAAACTATGATACTATATGGTTATCAACTAAATTTTTTTTTATTTAGAAACAAAAAGTTATTTTAGAACTCGTCACTATTGATCTGATTGTTATGACAATTGGATCTGTAATTTGGGATATTGCGAGTAAGTGGCAAGTTGATACAAAATAAAGTTCTATTAAAGTGTGTGAACATTGTGAACATCTAAAATTTCATATAGGTACAAACTAATAAGTTGTACACACATTAATTATTGGCATAGGTTAATATGAATTGTTTATTTTATATATAATATTACATTTATTTTTAACTAAATTTTCACAGTAAGTTGAGAAATACCTACTAGAGTATACAAATATATTAATTTATTATAAATGATTTATTCTTCAATTTACATGATTATAATATTAAGTAAATATAAGAAACTAATATCTAAAATAATGTATTATATTTTAGAAAATTGGGTTGTGAATATGGATCTATATTATTTTATACTACTAGTATTTTACTTCAACATATCCAAAGAGATTCAGCTTTAAATTATTTCTCACATAATATTATCATTGATGAAATACACGAACATGACACCATTAGTGATTTTACATTAACTATTCTCAAGATCATCATACCTGTTGTAATTATATGCATATTATGTTTATTAATATGCAGTATGCACAGTATTTTATTTAAATTGTACTAATTTTTTTTTTTGTATTGTAAATCCAGAGACCTGATTTTAAAGTTATATTAATGAGCGCAACATTAAATGCTGCAGCATTTTCCAAGTATTACAATAACCAACACAAAGATCTCGCAAAATTAAACCTGGTGATCAATTCACTGAATTTGTAATTCCTTATGTAAAGTAAGTATGCATGTAAAAGATATATTAAGAAATATTTACTTACATATTGTTAACAAATAAATAATAATCAATGTAATATTCAAATAACAAAATCTTTTGTAGTGAAATAAAGAGATTGCAAAAATATGCTTTTGCAATATTGAATTGGTTGGAAAATCCAATGTCTAAAGATACAGATTATGAATTAATTTTAGAACTCATATACCACATTTGTAACAATACAGATGATGATGCAATACTTGTGTTTCTTTTTGGATGGGATCAAATATATATGCCAAATTCGTTCTTGTCTCTTGGATATAAGTTTGCTTCTACTACCTATATAATTTTTTATGTTCATAGATATCTTCTAAATTCTAATAACAATTTAATAATATAATATATTGTTTGAGCGTCATTAATATATACATTTGTTTAAAATTATATAATACATATTTTGACATGTTGGCTTAAATATTGGAGTTAATTTACCCATTATTAAACTTAACATAAATGTAACAATATTACTGTACTTATTATTGTATATTTTGTTATAATATTGTCATATGTTTTACTATTATATTGATTTTTATATTAACCTTATGGAAGTAGACTAAAAGTGCATTGCATGAATGCAAACATGTTGCACAGAGTGCATGCTATACCTAAGAATACCCAAATTACATTTAAAAATCTATGTCTTTTAGTAATTATAATATAAGATAGTAAATACACCAAAATATAATTTAATAACAAAATTAAAATAATTTGTCATGTTTTAGATTAGTTGAATAATCATCTTCTGAAGAATCACAATCAGAAAAGACACCAATGAAAATGGATAAAAAGATTACCAGAAAAACAAAGAAATCCCAAAAATTGGAAACAATCAATCAATAAAGAT